TAGGGGCAAGCCGCGTGTGCTGACTTCCCGCAAAATGACATTCATTACGTTTCCCAACGTTTTTCATGAGAATGTGCACCTACTGTAGGTATAGCTGAAAATCTACACGTTACGTTCTGTCTAAACACCGGTTGCCATGAAATGGATCCGACGAAGAAAATGGAGACCAGAATAGCCATTTTTAGCTTACTGCCGTCATCAGCCAGTCATACTCAATCCCAGGTATTGATGACCCGGGACTCGAACCCGGGAACTTTGTTCATCGAGTTAACCACTATACTATTGCTACCATGTCCAATTCGGGCTCTAGATGGCTGTTGATACAAATCGTTTGCATTTTCCCCGTAATTATGGTGTCCTTCAAGACGAAAGCCAAAAAGGGCTAAAATCAGCAGACCTTTCTGCCTCGACTGTCGCTGATATGAAAATGATCATTTTAAACATAAAAGGCTGGCCTCAGAAGAACTGAGAACGCCGTTTTCTCGCTATCGATGGGCAGAGTGTAAATGCGGATTACGTAGCATTATAAATTTCACAGAACATGACTGATTTTCTTAGAATTAAACGCTGCTTTCTTAAAAAAAATATTATCGAAAGATCAGATAGACATGCGAGCACGGTTGGCGCCGCAATCATATTAAATGCAAAACAATTACTACTTACTACTTGTGCATAGCATCGTAGCAAACATAAAGTGGAAAGCCTGTGAACTACGATGCGGATCTCCCCTTTACGTTATGAGCGAAATACGATCCGTTCAGCGATTAAAGTTTGAAATATTATGATTGCACGCCAGCAACTGGTAGAAACGTTAACCAATTAAAAGTGGATTAGCCGAATACTGGAAAATTCCAAACTCAGTCAGACAAACTTGCTCAGTTATTACAGAGAAAGATTTAAAACTGTGCAAGGCAGCTTCTAAAAGATCACAAGTGCGAGGGGTGATTGTGAGTACAAATTTCAAACTCACCGTTCGCATTCAATGCGAGCCTCCAACACTCGAGATTCCAGAAGCTCCCGTTGTTCCAATTTTTGATTAGAAATTAGTTTTAGCCGATTCCGAGATCCAATCGCCTGTAGCAAAAAAAGTACAGGACAGCTTATGCATCCTACTCCCCAAAAGGAACAGCCACACAAGTAAAGGAACTTAAAAGTGAATCAAAAAGGCGTCAAATGATCATCCGAGCATTGCTAATTCTGTCTGTTCTTACCCGCATCTTCATACGTTCCACCTTGGCTGCGAGAGACTCGAACAGCTCCAGAACGTTCTTTGAAAGACTCTGAAATTCCTCCGTTTCTAATGGTAAAGAATAAAAAAGTGCAAATTAAACGTAGTGCTGCAAAGTAATTCTTGTGAGGACAATAAGTAATTCAAATTCGCAATCCCAACCTGGTCTCTGGATTGATCGAAGGAAGTCTGGTTTCAGGTCGCGATATGAAAGGAAACCAGTATACCTTAGGCAAAGAGGAAGGAATTACAAGCTACGAATGTGCAGATTCGTGCGGGTGCAAGTCTTTGGACATGGACGCATTTGCTGCAATCGTCCGTTACCTGCTTATTCACGAAGTCATTTACACGTTTTGTAAATGGGTGCTGACAAAAGCAGACCCTCAAATTTTGACAAAGGTAAACTTCGTCATCTACCCATACTTGCTGGGAGTCGGTTACTTCCTTGTCCACTGAGCTCGTTCGGCAGGGCAGAAGACACTCCTATGCAGTCACCTGAGTGCACTATACTTAACTTGGAACGCGCAACCCAAAACATGCGTATCTCTACCAAGTATAGGCGCAAACAGTCGCGAGTTTGAAGTTGCAAAAGCTGCTAAGCTAGAAAATTTTACAGAGCTTACTGCAGAGAGTTTGCAAAGATTAAAAAATGTATTAATATACTACGAAGATCCCATGAAGATACCATTAATGACACGCAAAATAGATAAGAGGGCGCCTCTGACGCTTTAATCTTGAGGTTATTGGGACAGCTGTACATCGATACATTTAATTTCAACAAAAAGACCGGAAAAACATTTGAGTCCTTGATGCATTCTGCAAAAGCCTGCCCTTATCCAAGCGAATTTACTTTGAACGTTCCCATGTATCCTCTTTAAGTTCAGTTAATTTATTATAACGACCCCTCAAATTGAACGTAAGTAAAAAAGACAATTAAATTGAGTGGACGGTTATAACCGTTTATCTGGACTGCTTTACAAGTAAATATGATGATAAAGGATACGATTAATTTCAGTTGTATACATTTCAATTTTGACGATAAACTCATCCACAGCCAGCAATTTACTTTTTAAAAATTTAAAGGAGATCAAGTATGAAAACCAGAGAGGATAGCTCACGCGTAAATGACAGTTTTGGAGTCCAAGGGCACAATACTGAGGCGAGAACTTGATGAACGAGTATACTACCAAATATATAAGATCCAAAGTAAAATACAAAATGGAGGAATGTGTAGCATCGGAGAATCATTAATGCTTTGAGAGCGAAACTAGTTAGCATTTTCATCTCCCGCAAACGCTAGTTTCGAGGTTTTAAAAATCCGTGGTTCACGTCAGTTGAAATTTAACAACCGTAGTTCAGAAGCGCAAGAGACACACAAGACGTTAACACACTATGAACTGTAGCCAAGAAGGCAGGCTGCGCGGACTTCAGTTTAGATTTCGGCATTAATGAACTTAAACCATATTATTTCCAGAGTAAACGCTCTAGTCACTTGGCAATGAATTATGCATCACTGTCATGGATCGCTTTTTAGGTGGAGGCTTCTACCTCACACAATATTCAGTACAGCTCCTAATAGATGCGGCCAAAACGCCAGCTGTGTCAGACAAAGAAACAGCGTGAGGTTTCATCAAAGACGAATTTTTGACGCTTTTGCTATCGAACAAAATATTCAGGACAGTGGCTCCAGTCTCACATACTGTTCATTTCAGAAAGACATTGACTCACAGTGAAGGCCGGGTCGGGTCAATCGAACGCACCACAGGCTAGCAGATTGATAGGTAGTATCCGCCCGGCTAGTACAAGACTTAGGTTTTCACCATCACGATAACAAAATACCTTAACTCTATGCTATGTGTAAGTTTGTGATTCGATGTCACTTTTCAATAACTTGAATTTTTTAGGTCGTTTCCATCCTTTATACTTGTTTCCATCACGTGGTCATTTTCCACAGGTCTTCCGTTTTAAGTCCCGTTTTCAACATTTTTTCAGTCGTAGTTCGTTTTTCACATTTTCAGCCCCAATTTCGACACCGAAATATTTTAGTTGTTAAGATGTCTTGACAAATAAATTAAAGTTAAACGCACGTTAAAATGCAACTTTGTCTGTCCTACAGTCTTCAAATACAGTGATTTCATTGTCTGCTAAATGATCTTTATTAACCATTTAATTTAGGAACATATAAATCATGGAAAACGTGCACACGTGCCTATATGCGCCGACGAATATCATCATATATAACGCGATATATGCGCACGCATACATCCGAATTTAAATACGTCAATAGTAATTGCACATAAGTTACTCACTTGTTAAGAAGCCTTCACATTCATTTTTAAAGTCTATTGTGGACTGAGTGTGAGAGGGATCCAAAATCCTCAATTTATTTAAATCATCAACAAAAAGATTGGCCTCAGCCAATTTGGCCGCCATTTTAAAATGAAATTGTTTACGTTACCGTTCGAAACATATTGATGATAAATTAAAACGTTGACGGATTATTAAACTGGAAGATGAATTGAGATTTTTTAATAGCAGCTACACATTTTTCTACAATATAATGGAGTTTAAATCAGACATAAGATTCCGACCCCTGGATTTTTGGGCATTGCGGCCGTTGAAATGTGAGATATTGTTTCAGAGTACAGGTAGACGGTAGATCACAATTTTTGCAGATAAAGAAATGCTTTCTTGCCATAAGATGTATCAAAATGAGCAAAGTACCACATACTTAAAGTTGTGATCTTGAGTGACTGAGAGGTTTTGATTAAAAATGCATATAGGCCCAGATAATTCCAAATGGAACTTACGGATTTTGAGGAGAGGCCTGTGAGACTTACAGTTCGAAGGATCTTTTGCTGGCCAGGGAAGCCTAGTGGCACATGTAGATGCTGACCTAGCTTATTTAAATCAAAATTATATCGCTAATCTTAATTGGTCCAATGCTCCTTCGACATGATTTTCTGTAATCTCTGTAGCGACCCATTATTCTTACTCATGCTTTCCTCGGACGCCGCGGGCACAAGCCATGTCTGGC